CAACTGTGGAATGCCACCACCCCCTCCACCCCCTCCACCCCCTCCACCTGCTGACTCTGCTGACTCTGCTGACTCTGCTACTCCTCCTACTTCTAATACAGATACAAAATCGTACACCCCGGCCGTCGCTTGGTGTGCCAAGGCCTGCAAACCCCGTCACGTGTTGTCAACATCACCATGTCAGTGCCACCCTGATGAACCAGTGTATGCTGCCCCCAAGCAGCCAAAGGCTGTCCCCAAAGCTAGAGACAACACTGAGGTCCTTTGCCGGAAAAGTTGTCACCCAAGACCGGTTTTCAGCTCTAGCCCTTGTGAATGTGGCTTGCCTGCACCGGGGGATAACAGCCATATGTACCCTTTTGCTGCACCAAACCCAGTTGAGACAGCTCTGAACCTCCCAGGTAAGATTCTAAGAGTTCTAGCAGAGTATGTAGTACAGTATGATCCACATAACCTGTGTCTCAAAGAGAAGGATCAAAATTGCTTTAAGAGTGTACTTGGGAATGCAAAAGAGTTCGAGTTAAGAAATGTTTGTGTTATTAGAGAAGTATCTTAGCTCAGCCTGCCAAAGCCTTTCAAAAAAAGAACTTACCTTTCTGCAAATCTAGGCCTATATATTTTCTGTCTTGTTCTTTCGGAACCTTGTTCTGACGTTTTATATTCTGAGGAGTGTCAGACGAAAAAGCTTCCAGTATGCTGTAAAATGTTTGCTTTTTTCAAAGCCATGTTCGAATTTTGCACCATCAACAAATTTTTCGAATCTGGGGCTCGTGTTTCTTATTTCCGTGTTTCTCAAATATTAGAAACGTGGAAGTGCTGAGACCATCTTTTGGATGAAGCAGAAACATTCACAATAATCTGTTGTGAATTCCACTTGCAAACACGAATAGTTGATTTATCTCATTTCCATTTAGCCGCACCTGCGTACAGTATTGGCACCAAGGAAGGAGCTGCTGCTGTGCAAGGTCCTGCTAGATCCTCCGTTGCTAAAAAAGGTGCAGGGAAGAAGAAGCAAGCGAACATCAAATCAGCGGCCAGCAAACAACCGGCTGCCGAGGAAACAGAGGATGAATATTACAGCAGATCCAATGGACTGAAGTTGAGATACTTAGATACTTCAGCTAAGAGTGAGTAGTGCTACTTCGATACTTATTCTACCTTGATTAAAGCTACTTACGTACGGTACTGAAGGTTTAGCTAGCCTTGTGAATAATGCTTTTGGAAGATTTGTTCCAGCTCTTTATAAGGCCTCTTAAGATTAATATAAGTTACTAAGATACTTTGGGGGGAAAACAAAACATCAGCCTACTTTAATACTTCTGCTATGGGTACGCTGAGTCTTAGATGCGCCAGTTAACAGCTACTTCGTTACGTGAATTAGCATCCTATTTAGGTGAACAAAGTCTTCGGAAATTTGGCCTAGTTTTGTAACAGTCTGACACAATTTAAAGAGATTTAGGAATCTAGACATCTTAAAGAGTTTTTTCTCCAGGAGGATTTGGAAAATTAGCAGTTTTATTCAAATTTCAATTTTATCTTTCTAGATTATCAAGGCTGCTACAAAGACAAGAAACCAGGACGGGATCTCTCTCGCAGATTCACGCGTTACGCCATGACTCCCGAGGTTTGCCTGCGGGAATGCAAATACCAAGGATATAAATTCGCAGGATTGCAGTACGCGTATCTGTGCTTCTGCGGGAATGCTTTTGGTCGCTATGGCAAAGTCGATGATGCGTATTGTAATTCAAGGTGCCTTGGAGACAAGACAAGACCGTGCGGTGCTTTCTGGCACAATTCTGTCTATTCCATTGGTACGAGCATTGTTTATGTTTCAAAATTCAAAACTTTTGCTTTGAACTGTCTAAAAGCCAAAAACATTGGCTTGCTTTCTTGTAAAGAAAAGCTATCACATTTTCTTACCAACTAGAAAATACAACGTCGATTTGTTTTCTGGAAAGAGAATAGCTCCTATTTGATTTATAAAGAGGAGAAAACGTGTTGAAGTCTCAGAACATTAAACTTTGTTTCTGTTTAGAAACAAAAATGTTGGTTTGTTTTTTATATAAACAAGCCATCATATTTTGTTTTTTTCTAGAAAATAGAATGTTAATTTAATTTCTTAGAGAAAAACATGATTCACGTGAATTATGTATTGAGATTATCAGTTGTTTCAGAGACTAAAACTTTGTCCTGTTTTAAAATTTAACTGTTGATTTGTTTCTTGGAAAGAGAAACTATTATACGAGTAGTTTTTCATCTGTTCCAGACCTTAAAACTTTGTCTATAAACAAAAACGTTGTTTGTTTTGCTTTTAAGACGGAAGAGAATATGTATACGAGTAAATAATAGATTTCACCTGTTTCAGAACTTGAACCTTTTTCTGTTTAAAAACTAAAACGCTGTTTTGTTTTGTTTTGTAGACGGAAGGGACTACGACCCAACTGATTTCGACTTCCGCAAGGTCGATGCAGATGAGGCCAGGAAAGATGCAATTGCTCAGAAGCAGGGTTTTGACCCAAACAATTTTTCAAGTAAGTAAGAGCCTTTCGTTAAAGAGGCTTGTCTCTGTTTATTGAAAAACACAAGATGTAGTTTATTATAAATTGGTTCTCAAGGTATACTTAAAGCAAGGCTCCTGTACTTGAGTTTTAAGGTGGTGTAAACAAATCAAAACTCAAATCTTTTGTTCTTCAACCGCAAAAATTACAAGTAGAAGTATTGGGATTTTCGTCTTAAATGAAATGAAATCAAATCATATTTTATCATATATTTAAATCTTTTTCCCTAAGTCACTGAGATACAATGTTGGAAGCTGTAAGGTTTTCGAGCCCAGTGGCCTGTGCCATGTAAAATAAAATTGGTCATATTTGCTAATGATAAATCTAGCTCGTTTACAATTTTGAAACTTTTTCAAGGCATGGTTGAAAAAATCGCTTTATACATTGTAATTGTTAACTTAACTTGTAGTTTTCCAGTACATGTTATAACTTAATACAGAACGAAAACTAAAAGAAGATTATTTTAACCTTTGCAAGCTTCTTGGGTTACAGCTCAATTTTTTACTGATGTTATGTTGTCAACACCTAACTTTCAAGCCCTTTATCTGTCTTCTCTGATTGTAAAAACTCACTATATCTTTCTTTGTCTTTATACAATAAATTCTTTTTTTGCTTATTTAATCATTTTTTTTCTCTTTAATGTTTTGCAGGCACAACCAAAGGTATGAAAACTTTTTCAATTCTTTTTCTTGAATATGATGACATATATAAGCAAGTCAAATGACATTTATATGAAAGTTTTTTGCAAAAATTTAAACTCAGATTGCTGTCAATATTCCCTGCAAATTGATACAGCTTTAGATTTTTTGTGCTTGCTTAGTTTCTTATAAACAAATATTTTTTTATTAAAGACAGAACTCTGACCTTCCTTTAAAGATAATGATGTCATAAAATAACAATTATAGTACTATATAGTCTAATTTCAACGAAAGATACATTAAAACGAAACTTTGCCTAGAAACAAAAAATGGAATAGTTTGATTCATTTTGGCAGGAAACTGAAATCTTGTGTCAGGAAAAAAAATGAGTAATTCTAGACTTTGATAATATCTTATCATGAATACGGATTTCTTGAAAAAGTAAAACTTATACGTTGGCCTAAATGGGCTTTATTATCGTTAAATGTACAAACGAACGAAATAATCTAATAATTTGACGTTATGATGATAATTAATTTTCATGCCTTCCATTAAAAACTAACAAGAGAGCCCAAAATTACACGACATATATTATATATATTATATTACACGACATATATTATATAAATTATATTACATGACATATATTATATATAATATATTACATGACATATATTATATATATATTATATTATATTATATTATATTATATTTTATTTTCTACGCAGCTAAAGTTGCAAACAATCTCGTCAAAGGTATGCTAAAATGCAATTGCATATTTTAGTAGAACAGATGTATAATTTATCATACATTAGCACAATAATTCTTCTTGACCAACATGCATAATTTATCATTGTTTAGCAAAATTAATTACAGTGTTTATATCATATAAAAACAATATAATTTCACTAGCTTTTAAAACTGGAGATAAAGTTGAATTTTTCCCACACTTTCTTTTTTCTAAAATCATTTATACATAGAATCCTTTAAGCTAACTCATGCAACAAGCTATTGATAAGTTCTGTTCTTCCAAGAAGTCGGGTTTTTGTCTTCTTTCAACCCAATAAATGTTTTTTAACAGTCTTGTAAATTGATATAAGATGAAAAACTCTCTCATACTAATTGGGATTTCATTCAAGAGCTGAAAGGCTTTTAATAGCATACTCTAGATTGTACCTCGGGATTTCAAGATTTCTACAGAATCGCGTGCTATGACTACAGTCCTGGACCATTGTTCAAATTTCTTCCAATTTTTTTCTGGACTGAGTTTTTCCATGAGCTTACAGCCAATAACTACGCAATCAAACATAATAAATTGTCGATAATGTTGAAAACAATTTGACCATTTGCCCTTCACACTGGCCTCATTGATCATTGAAAAAGCTATGTCCTGAAAAGTCAAGTGCAAAAAGCTTCTTTTATAATCCTAATAAGTCCCTTACACTATTCTTTGCTGTTATGTGGAATTTTGTGCTGTTTTTGTAAGCTTTTTAACTAACATCTTAATCTTATTTTTTATACAATTTTTGATAATATTTTTTTCATTCCTTCAGCTGCCGAGGCTGCATTGAAGGGTTTGTATAAAATTATCTTCATTACATCTCTTACTAAATATTTTTTATCCTCTTCCTATAAAGTTTTTCAAAACATATGAAATAAATATCAAAATAAAACTGAATAATAAAAATTCATAATTTATTCTATGTGCAAATCCCCGTAAATTTGTCATTCTAAACATAAAAATGATTTATTTTTGCATAGTAAATCGAGGTTAAAATATTTGATGAAAAATGTTGCCACAATGGGCTAAATGAATTTATCATCCAGAGAATATTCTGTATTATTGTAAGGTTTTCCTTGCTTGTCTTTTCAATATTTCTTACTTGTTTTGCAGCTGCAAAGAAATTACTACCAGGTAAGTCCTTATAGCTTGATGTTTATCCAATTGCCTAATACATACGCTCTTTTACTGCTGATCTAAAAAGGTCAACAGTCAACGGTCACCAGTCAAATTGAAATCAGCAGGTCTAAGTTCACAGGTCGCAGGTCACAGGTCACAGGTCACAGGTCACAGGTCACAGGTTAACTTAGAACATACTTTTTACAAAAGGTTATAATTTTTTTGTTATTAAATCACCTACTAGGATGGAAACGATATTTTTGTAGGCACATTCGGGTAAAGCAATCTCCAAAATTTTCAGTTTTCCCATCATTTTTTCTTCCTCTTTAGAAGCCCTTTTCAGGCACATGGCCCCAAACAAAATCAAAAAATCATAAAAATTTGTGGCAGCCTCTCTTTGTTATGTCTGAAAAATCAAAAAAGTCTTCTTTGCTGTTTATTCTGTATATCTCATAATTGTTTCTTTCTTTCTACGTAGATTCTAAAAGCAACATTTTCAAGAAGTCCAAAAATGGCAAACAGAAAAGAGATGATGATGAAGATGAGGAGTTAGAAGAGTTCAAGCTATCAGCATTAGCTTCCCTTGGAGGTAGGGATGCTCGTGCCTTTAACTGCCCCTCTTTCCTTTACTCTCGCTCGCTTCTGCTTTATTGTCTCTTCCATTGGTTGTATCCGTTCTTTAATTTCCTCTTTTTGACTTGGCTCAAAAAGCCCCTTGGTTTAGAATCCAGTCCTATATTTTTTCTTGTATCTTGTGCTTGTTTTATACCTCCTTGTCCCTACTTGTCCCTCTTTGTCTAACTTTTTTCCTCTTCGCCTCTCTTTGTCTCTCTTCGCCTCTCTTTGTCTCTCTTCTTCCTTCCTTGTCCCTCGACTTTTTTCTTTTCTTCTATGACTTTTCTTACCTTTTATTTCATCTTGTCTCTTGTCTCACTAGTCTTGTAACTTGCCCTCTATCCTTTTCTCTCCCATCCTTGTCCCTTGGCCTTCAAATGTATTTCCTCAGCTCCCTTGTCCCACCTCGACCTTATTCCCCCACTTGCATCTTATCTAACAAACCCTTAACTCGACAATTCTTTCCCCAGCGGCAAAGAAACTCCTGAAAAAGACTACTGTGGTCAGCCCAGCCAAACACAAGGACAAAGAAAAACGATCAATTGAAGTTGGCGACGATGACTGGGTTGATTTGGACAACGGCAAGGACCTCCTCGTTGCTTACCTTGGTGGCATTGCTGACTACAGGAGACAGATTCGCAGTGTTGATAATGATGATGATGATGACTTCGAGGCTGATGATGGTAAATACCCCATGTCTTTTGCATAAACTTCCCTTCTTGAATTAAAAGAGGCCCTCCCCAGCTTTGACCCTACTTTTCTAGTAAACAGCTCTTTGAATGAATATACAAGGCTGATATACGATTGCCTTTTGTTTTCAGAAACAATTATTATCAATTTCCGTTTTCAGACGAAAATATCAAAATGTAGCACTCTATCCTTTGCAAGAAGCGAATCAGTAAATCTAAGAACCTTCAAACAAATTATGACGTAAATATTTCTAAATCTCACAATTAATAGATTCCAAAACCTTTTTGCGTTGCAATATTATTGAGGATGCAAGGAAACAATTGTCAAAGAACGTGTATTCCTAATGCAACGTTCGAAGACAGGAAGGCTTAAAAAATCACTGCATTTTGATTTTACGCCTCCTTAAAATTGCGTAACTTCAAATTTTTATTAGTTCGAATTTATGTCAACTCCAGGCTATTACTAGCTTCCCTTCTTTATCTCTACAGAAAGCAATTTCAAATTTATAATTTCAAATGTCTTTGAATCAAATGACTGATAATTCTAAATGTTCTGAATGTTCTGATTTAGACTTCTAGATCTTCAAGAGCTGTTGAAAGTAGATTTGATCTTTATCAAACAAATCTGCGTTGCTCCGATTCAATGCAAGCTTCCCTTTGATCAATTGTTACAGCGTATGATTGC